TGGTAAAAATGGTTGCCAAGGGAATCTTTCGGAAGTGGCTTAGTAGAAGTCCTGTCCCAGCCTGCCACTCATGGAAATGAGCAATTACGTTGGGCTTGTCCTGTAGTTGGTCTGTTAACTGCAGAGGGAGACAGACGGGTTTAACATCATCAGCACATTACTCCATCAAACCTTCAAAGTTTCATCCCACAAAGTTAACATACACTAAATCAATTCATATTATAGCTATGATAGACTAGAAAAGTACAGGTGAAATTACAAAAATAAGCAAAATCAAATGGTTTACTAAAGGGATTTCTTCACCTCCTTGAAGAACCAGGCCACAAGAGAACCAAAGATGAGCGAGTCGTTGGCCTCTCTGTCATGATAGGGCAGCCCGATGCTGCACGCGTTCCACAGATCCCCCTTCCAGCGGTCCAGGTTCCAGGCAGCTGCCCCAATATCAAAGAGGATGACGTATGGACTACCCTCAATCAACCAGCGGCCAAAGTGCACCTGTATGTAGAGAGCAAGTAAAGGCCAAAAACGCTACTAATAAAAACTATAGGTGGCGTGAAGATGTTGTCCCATTTATTTCTATTCTTGTGGAAATCTGTAAAATCAAAGGCATCAGCAAAAGAGTGGCTTGCTGTTGTTTATTTATTTGTTATTTATTATTTATTAATATAATAAAATAAATATAAATAATATAATAAAAGTATTAATATTATAATAAAAAATCTATCTATCTATATATATCTATATCTCCATATATATATATATATATATATATATATATATATTGAACACTAAAAAAATCAGTTCAAACAAATCAATTCTTTAAAATAAATTTTTACACACACAAATATATATATTTTTTTTTTATCTGTTTCCTCTCTAAAGTGATACTCTAGCATCATCTGCTGGTCAGAACTGGTCAAATGAGACCAAGACAAAAAAAAAAGGCAGCTTTATTTTCTAACTAGTCTTTATATTACCATCTGATGCTGACACAGCAGGCATGTCAATGCCAGAAGTTTTTGCCAGCTTTGAAGCATTTCTTTTAATTGGTCAAATGACTAACTAGCCTCAATGAACCTGATCATATAAGGTCTACCTGATCATACCAGGTCTACATATAAGATGCGGACCTTGTAATCGGACATCACCAATAACCATGTTTTCAATACCTGGGAACCGTTGTTAATCAAGGAATCCATGGCAGCTTTGATGGCTTGGTTTGGGGGTTCACATTTCTCCACCTGGGTCTTGAAGTTGTGTTCGTAGTAGGGTCCCATCATGATGTAGTTCTCTCCCCATTCGTCCACTGTGATCTTTGCTTTAGTCTGAATAACAGTGTATATACCCCCAACTGGAGACAGAGACACAGTTGTGCAGGGAATAAAACATTTGTAAATGAGAAACAGAGAAGATAAACAAAATAAGAACATTGTTAAAAGTAAAACTTAAAAGTATTAATTTGGACATCATGTAGTTTCAAAAGCAATTTTGTAACATCAAGATTACATTTAATATGATAAATAACAACCACAAATAAATGACAAATAACATACCCACAAACACACATCAATTGTTATCTTCTAAAATATTCCACTAGATTTACAGTGGGTACGGAAAGTATTCAGACCCCCTTAGCAAATGGCTGCAATATAACAAAGAGTGAAAAATTTAAGGGGGTCTGAATACTTTCCGTACCCACTGTAGGTCTCAAAAATCTGGCTATTGATCTGGAGTTTAATGTTTAACCTGCTATACAGCCCCACTGATACAAGAGTGTATGAATTCTGCACACATGCACACATTTGACTAAATGACAGCTCTGTCTTGTTAAACTACTTTCAAGTCTTCTGATAATAGGGTGAACAGTCTTGAGGTCAAATGCACTTTCAGGGGTCAAACTCACAACTACCTTCTTGCTAAAGTTACAAAATAAATTTATAGGCACTTTTGGCCTAATGTACTTTTAGACAAGGTTTTAATTTGTGGACAATGGACATATAAGCGTCAGGTTTTTCCTCTTCTGAACCATCATGATCAAATTACATTAGATGTCATTTCCAGCACATCTAAAAGATGATTGATATGTGGTGGAAATGAAGGTGATAGAAATGTACCTTTAATATATATGGAATAAAATGGCCTAAGTGTATTTCTCTGGCAAAAGCTAATCTCATTCCTAGCATTTTATGTTTCAAATACAATCAAATATTATTTTCATACCTTTTGAAAAAATTGTCACACACATACTTTATATAGATGTATAATATAAAATGTATATATAATTTATATAGATATATAATATAGCCCACAATCCAATCGGAAGATGAACATTTCTTTTGTTGTAAATTAGAATATTAATTTTAATAATTATGGAATAAAATGGCCTACGTATTTGTCTGGCAAAGGTTGAACTCATAGCTAGCATTTTATGTATCAAATACGATCAAATATTATTTGAATATATTTTGCATAATTTGACAAAATTTGGAAATGATGCACAATAAAACGAAATTACATAAATTAAAACTTGTAACACCCTGAAAACAGAAAGCGTTGCAAGTTCTTACCCTTATTGGTGACTTCCCATGAGACCTCAAAAAGCAAGAGGTCTTGCACAGGTAGACTTTCCTCTTTCCATAGTGGAAGTCCACTTAATGACGATATTGACAAAGATCTGGACAGTCGCATCTCACAAAGTCTTACAAATAGTTTTTATCTGTCAATTGAAGTTGCAAATGCGAAATAGGCCGAATTACTATTATTGTGGAAAAAGTAAAGAACCTAAAATCATCAGCCAACAGCCACCAAGAGGTCTCTTCTAGGTAATGGAGCGCCTGGATGTCCTGGACACACTGTGAGCTGTTGCTCGATCTCTTCCTCTAACCTTTAGTAAAGTCTAAAAAAAACCTGCATGTGCACACTATGATTGCGTGTCTGAAGTCCACAGACATCAAGGTGAAAGATTTGGCCGCTGCTAGCGAACCCCTCTGACCGGGACCACATACTGTTATAATCCTCTTTTTATATATCTAATACTTCTATAAAACAAATAGCATATCCCAATGGGTTTACAAAACAATGCTGACAGGTGAAGATAGATAGATAGATAGATAGATAAAATTGTATCATTAATACTTTAAAAATATGTAATTTTACGTTTAGGATGTTTGTAGCATCACAAAAAATTTAAATATAAAATTTGAAGGCTGAGGGTAAAAAGCTTTTATAAGTGCACCATCACAAATGTGCTGTACCAAAAACCATCCTACATTTGCATAATTCATACTCGCACCATGTAAGATAATGTTGTCTCATTATGCAGGAATATTATCTTGTTGTTATGATATCCAGGCATGATCGTATATTACCATGCTGAAGACAAGATGACAATGAAAGCTTACTATATTTTTCCACAAGGCACTGAAAATGACCATGATTGTGCCCCATTATAGTGGCTTCATTCATGATTTCCTGCTACAAGCCCTTATTTTACTTTCATATGTTTTCCCTTGCAACAAATGAGAGAAAACTAAAATTAAAATGTGTGATGTGTATAAAAACACACATAATGTGCTTTTGGTGGGTTTTGCAGCACTTCAGCAGCTATCTGAATAATCACAGTGGATTTCAGTGTACAATTTACCACAGGATTTCCAAGAAAAAAATATAACATTTGAACAGTTAAAATGCTCTGGATGAGGCTACAGGGAGGTCCTATTTGCCACAGACAGTCATACATGTAAAATAAGGTCAGAGGTTGTCACTAGCCAAGCTTTATATTGAAGCAGGACAGCAGAGCATGGGTTTGTTCACTGAAGAGATAAAGGCTCAGCTGTGCTCCATAAGCTTTACAATTCAGCAGTATGAAAATCAAGGCACTGATTCTCTTCATGTCTGCAATGATCTGTCAGTCCACTGCTATGAGAGCACCATTCACTGACATGGATACATCTGAGCCCGTCCCAGGTAAGGTGATGCTTTGCAATCGAAATGCCTGATAAATAAATAAAATAAAAGCTTGCTAAAGAGTGCTCTGAAAAGCATATCTTACTTTACAGACTCTAAGCAGGACTATCTCTCAGTGGAGCGGAGGCAGTTTGACGAGCCCAGTGCTTCAGACGACGCAAACCTTTGCCTTTTCTTCCAAGAAAAAGACGAATCGAGACATATTTCCTGCAAACATCGATTAACACGCAGTAAATTCAACTACAACCCGTTTGGGCTACGCTTTGGGAAGCGAAATGAAGCGCCAACTGACAGACCCAAACACGAGCACCTGCTGCCAATGATGCTTTACCTGAGAAAACAATCAGAAACTTCTTGAAAATCACTCTTCTATCAGTCTTCATCAGATGGAAGGATGTGGTTTGCGCGTTTGAAAACTGTGGGTAATTATTTCAGGCACGCCTTGCCTGTTATTATGCTTGTTTATTTCGCAGTCATGGAATTTTATGGCGCACTTGTTTCATTCAGTTATTGTATTTGTGCAATAAACGTTTTATATTGTTTAATGGCTTTATTAAGTAAATCAAATGTATTTATGATTGTTGACAGTGTGGGAATTAGGTAGTTTAATTATTTAAGGTTGAATTCTTTCTTACATATCGGTATATATTGTTTTTAATGCGTTTCAAACATTTTAATAACAGCTTTAGGTTTACAAGTATTTAGAGTGCGTATTTTCACCTGGCCGTTTGCTGCAGCTCACTTTTGTTCAATTCAGAACAGAACATTGACAAAAATACTTTAATTTCCACCTATATAATTAAACATGTTTTGAAAAAGTTTTTTTTTTCCAAATCGTTTTCAAAACTGTTAGCTTAATGTGAAATGGCGCCAACATAAAAAAAAAAAGAATTACAAGAGATAAAAACTTTTTAAATTATTGTATAATTTCCACACTTATTGTTTAAATTCCAACAAGCTATACAACTTATTGAATTTTTTAACCACAAAAGGTACAAAATATTTGAAGATCACAAAAATAGCCAACAGACAGATTTGAACAGATTCATTTTATTAACTTCTTATACACACTCATATAATCGACACTTACAACATGATTCAGAAGAATGAATACATTTGTATCTATTTCACTTCAGTCCCTTCTCCTCTTGAGTTAAACAGAAAGCCACAAGAATGATCCCTTCCCTAATGATCTCACTAAATTATGTCCAGACAAGAGAGGTGTTGGTTCTTTCTTCATTGCCCACACAGAATGACTTGATTAACAAGTGCAAATGTGAAGAATCAAAGATCTTTCCCTTTGATCATTCTCTTTAGAAGAAGAAACATTCCACATTTTGGATTATTATGCCTACATTAACCACCATGAAAAAATACTTCAAAGCAACCATGTCCAAAAGCAAGTGAGAAGAAAGAACTGACATAGAGAGTGTGTAAAGATACAGAGGGAGTGTGAACAGAGTTAAGGAAAGGAGTGCATGGTTTCCAGCGATTGATCTACAGGTCCTTCAGGTCTTTCTGGATGCCCCACAGAGTGTCGGCGCTCTTCTTCAGCTGAGCGATTTCTTCGTCATTCAGGGTCATGTTGATGACGCTGCCCACTCCACTGCTGTTCAGCACACAGGGCAGGCTCAGGTACACCTCCTCACCAATACCATACATGCCCTGCAGAAGACACAATAGGAAACACATTAAGTGATCACTAATACAAAATTTAAAAAAAAGGATCTTTTTTTTTTTTTTTTCATTTCATCTGTGCAGTTCTGTGACATGGAGGATTGTGATTCTACCATGATGTTAAACTGTAAACCCCTCTCACCTTCACCATGGTGGAGACAGGGTGGACCCTGTTCAGGTTCTTCACCAGGGTCTCGGTCAGGTCGGCTACACTGAGGCCGATGGCCCAGTTAGTGTATCCCTTCAGCTTGATCACTTCGTAGGCACTAAGAGAAGGTAGTAGCAACTAATTAAGAATAGAGATTTACTTTTCATCATTATTTAAGCCTGACATGCTGTTTCAATCCTCGCAGCTGCCATTTCTTTGTTGTTGAACACAAAAGGAAAATTTGGAATACAAACGCTGCGTCAAAATATCCCTACTATATAGTAGGCAAAAAAGCAGTATGTGAGGGGAGTAGTATGTCCAAATTCATAGTATTTTGAAAACAGTAGGGGAAAAGTACCCAGATGAGATGAAGATTCTGAAGTGCATATCTGATTAACATTTTACTATCCCATAAGGCCATGGATTTGTGATGGTCATGTGACAGTGGCAAAATGGTGGATATAGTATATAGAACCAACTTTTTAAAGTTTAAAACTAAACGTAGTACCTACTAGAAAGTAGGGATGCGCCGATCCGATATTCATATCGGGTATCGGCTCCGATAGTGCCATTTTTCTCGGATCGGGTATCGGTCAGAGAGAGCCGATCCAAATCCGAGATTTTTATTTATTTTTTTCTCGACAGAGTTTCACTCTCCGTCAAGCGATCTGTGATATTTTTCAGTTCATTTGAATGGATGGGCAGCGCACCTGTGTTTGTGTATTTGGCGTAATGTGTTTCTAAGTGTGAAGGCGCACGACTCGCCGTCGCTTTCTCTCACACGCGCAAAGAGCATGAGTCTTACATAACATGCAGAATTGGTGCGCTACATGTAAACGATATACTTTGTTGTATTTTCCTGTAAAAATAACAGAGTTCCTTTGGAATTCTTCAGCTTTTAAGAACTGCCGGGTTTTCCTGTAGTAGCCGGGTGTCTGTGAGAACAAAACACGGGCGTAGAAAAGACTATAAATTGTTTTTAACGTGCACAGTAACTGAAATTTAAAACTGTTAAAAGAAAGGCTCAATAACTGTTGCACAGATATAATACACTACGCATCAATTTCTCTTCCCTTTGTGCTTTGCAGTTTTTAACACGAAGCGCTTACAATGTGTGCATCCGGTGTGCAGAATGATGCGCTTGAAGCAACATGGCGTCAGGCTGTGACGCCATGTTGCTTCAAGCGCATCATTCTGCACACCGGATGCGCACATTGTAAGCGCTTCGTGCTCATAGACTGTATAAAAACAGTTCGTGCTGCACTGTATTTGTTTTGTCCTATCGTATCTATCATATGTTGTTGCCTTATTAAAAAATATGCTATACATTTAAAATAAATGTATTTTAATTTTATAGTATATACTTACATATAAATACATTCATGAATGTTTTTAATGAATGGATTTTATAATAATACAAATAGCAATGTGTAACATTTTACCATATTTAGTGCAACACTTTTATTTGTTCCCCACAAAATATAGTTTTTTCACTAAATGTTTGGATTTCTAAAATTATTGTGCACTGATTTTTCTAGAATAACTTTTGCTGCCGAATTATCCACTAACCTAGTTTATGATACATTTTTGTCATAGATTATAAATATACATAGGCCTATATTTTTTCATATTTGTTTATTTTATTTTCCTTTATAATGAAGTAGTCTGTATTTAGTAGATTGTGAAAGAATGATTATCAGTTCCACACACAGAGATATATAAATTCTACATTTATTTCAATGAGGGAAAAAAACTTCATTGGTATCGGATCGGAATCGGTATCGGCCAATACCGAACCCTAGGTTTCGGAATCGGTATCGGAGGCAAAAAAGTCGGATCGGAGCATCCCTACTAGAAAGTACATGATTTCGGACGCAGCTTTTTGGAACTATACAGATGTGGTCCCTTTGTGTAAACAGTTTAAGTTTTGTGTAAGAAATACTTCACAAAACTTTTTGTGTTCAAATAATAAAAAATACAAAAATCTTCATAAGGGTTCGAACATTAAAATTCTGTATGAAAATTATTTTACCTTCTCAACAGCACTGTGGTCATCTAAAATGTATTAATATATATTCCCAATTGCCCATCAGTCAGATAACAGCCCATGACAAAAAAAAAAAAGAGTGCCCTACCTGTCCACAACCATCTTGTGAGCTTCCTTCCAGTTCTCGCTGTCTTTATCTGTGCCGATGTCAGGGTTGAGTTTCTGCAGGCTCACTCCAGCCACATTTGCTCCACTCCATACAGGCACTGTTAAACACAAAAACAGCACTTTTAAAAATCAAATACGCTGTGACTGACTGAAACCGCGTCACATCATGCAGCAGTTCACATTCATCCATCTTATTATTCTTTCTAGCAGCCCTTCATCCTCTTCCTCTGGTTACTGGTTTCCCTCTCTACACCCTACATCTTATCTCATATTTTCCTCTTCATGCAGCTCCCCATCTCACCGCTGGAGTCTCCGTGCTCTCCCAGGATGTAGCCGTTGAAGCTGCTGGAGTGGATGCCCAGTTTCTCAGCCATGATGTAGCGGAAACGAGCGGAGTCCAGGTTTGTCCCGCTGCCGATGACACGGTGCTTTGGCAGGCCGCTCAGCTTCCAGGTCACATAGGTCAAAACATCCACTGTATGAACAGACAACCGCAGTTACTAAATACAGTACAGGAGTCTGAAATGGACATAGCTTTAGAATGGCATTTAGAATTTTGTATTAAATCTCATTAGGAGCTGCACTATATCTGCGGCTAATATATTATTTGCCATTAACTATGAAAACATATATTATTACCAATGCTGGTATTAAAGAATAAATATAAAAATTAAAATAACTAAATAATTTATAGAATTTTAACATGTAATTTGCTGCATCAGTTTTCATAATTTCATTTCTTCACATTGGTTGTTGTGTTGCACAGCAAAACATTAAAGTTAAAGGGGACCTATTACGCAAAATTCCCTTTTGCAAGGTCTTGGTAAAGTTTGGACATAAATGTGTGTTGGCAGTGTATGTACACAACCACCCTATAATGATAAAAATCCACCCACTCCTTTTTTTTTTTTTAATCCCCATAAATAATAAGCAGTGTCTCCCAATGGCCTATTTTTAGCATTGGTGCTAATGTGATGTCACATTAGCCACAGGCCCCACCCACGAATGTTGACAGACACTGCCGTTTTAACATAGAACCGCCCTGAGCGAGTTCACAGCGAGTTGTACACAGTCCGCCATTGCTGCACTGACGAGAATGTCTCCCAAGCATTTTAGGTATTCTGTAGCTGGATGTATTAATCCACATAGCTCTCTCCATTTACTCCCGAAATCTGAGCCGCTGAAGACGAGGTGGATTAATTTTGTTTTTGAAGAAAATGCTCCCTCAATTCTACAGAAATTCGTTTATGTCTGCGCGCGAATCATTTTACACCGGACTGCTTTGTGAATGAGGGTCAGTATAAAGCAGGTTTTGCACAAAAGTTGCTCCTAAAGGACAGAGCAGTGCCAACTGTTCGTGATCCAGCTAACGTTATGCCATCTAGAAGTAGTAAATATCACGAGTTTGTTTTCCAAATTGCCTTTCTGAAAGAGCTTCTTGGCACTCTGTAAGGCTAATGTTGCTAAAGCTACCATTGTCTGTCTGTTTTCACTGATGCTGCCTTCACGTGCTACCAGAATGATCGTGAATAGGAATGTGGTAGTTAAAAATTGCATATGAAAGCAATGTGAAATCGACCGCTTGAATTTGTCTAGCTCATAATCATATTCGGGACTTATAAAGTTCGTGTTAGCACGCGATGGCACCATGAGACCAACTATGTTGTTATTTTATAGCGCTGTGCTCCCCGTCTGTGTCATTCATAAATAATCTGGCAGGGTGCAGAATTCGGCACGACACCGGTTCGAACATATATGGCTGAACACCGCTACTAGCATTTTCTGACATTTTCAGTGCGTGAGAGAGTGTTTTGTTATTGCTGGCATGCTGGTGCGTGAGCTCTAGAAACTCCACCCTCTTCTGAAAGGGGAGCGGGAGCACCAGCTCGTTTTCTTTTAAAGGGACAAACACAAAAAACAGCACGTTTTGGCTCATACCCTAAAAATGGCAATTTCAACAAGCTATAAAAAATTATCTGTAGGGTATATTGAGCTAAACCTTCACATACACACTCTGGGGACATCAGAGACTTATTTTACATCTTGTAAAAAGGGGCATAATAAGTCACCTTTAAGCATGTTGTGTGAGTGTGTTTGTTTGCTCACCTGGATTGGACACCACAATGAGGGTGCAGTCAGGACTGTATTTGACAATCTGAGGGATGATGTCTTTGAAAATGTTGACGTTCCTCTGCACTAAGTTCAATCTGCTCTCACCCTCCTGTTGACGCACTCCGGCCGTCACCACCACGATACGAGAGTTAGCAGTCACAGAGTAGTCTGCTGGCCAAATAAAAATCATAAACATACACTGCCATTCAAAACTTTGGATACCTCTATTGAAATAAACTACCTTCAAACATTTCAGCATGAAGGCACAGTCCCATTTACCACTGTTCAAGGGCAAAATCTAGTCATTTCAATAGGAATCCATGTGATCTGGAATTTCGTGTCAGGGTGAAAGATTACCCCATGCTGATTTTGCAATGAGTTCAAGTTGGTCACACAGATTAGATACCCTGACCAACAGAAGCTGCTTGGTTATCTGAGTTTTTTGAGAGATGTGCTTCATATGTCACTACACTACTGATTGACAATAAAAAAAACAATTGACATTTTGTCTGTAAAATTTCACTAATGTGACCACACCTTAAAACCTTAGCTCAAAATATAAGATAAAAGATGAGTGAAAAAATGAGTCCATCTAAACTTAATGTACATTAATATATAATTTATAATAATCTGAATTTTTACAGTAAGAGTCAGCCTCATGCAATGGAAATGCATCCCACCCTTATCAGCCACAATCTTAGGGGTCTTGAGAAAAAGGCTGCCATGTTGCAGATCCAGCATCTCCCCCTTCAGTCTATCCTCCACAACATCCACCAGAGCCAGTTCATCTGCAAGCTCCTACAAGACAGAAAACAAAGAGTATGGAACATTAATACGTTAAATACCTGACACAATTGTAGTATAGAGGTGTGGTCTTGAAATCTGCACAGGGAACGTTTTTGCCCTCAAGTGAAACCCCCGATTGCACAGATTCCTATTGCGATGACTGGATTTTGCCAGTGAAACTTCACCAAGCAATGGTAAATGTGACCGCACCTTTATTTCAATATAGAAGCTAAAAATAACAAACTTAATTTCTAATCATTTGCTCAATACACAAATAAGATGAAGGTCTCTTACCCGGAGCAGGATGCTGACGGCACATGCCATGCCCACCTGCCCCACGCCAACAATTGTGACTTTGTTCCTGGGGGGCTCAGCGGGGCCGCTGGCCAGAGGAGTGATCAGCTTCTGCATTACTGAGGCCATGATCCCACTGGAAGAATGGGACAGATCATGTTCACAACACAAACTATTAGGAGTGTACGATAATAGAAAGAAAAGTTTAGAGAAAACGACAGGAATTTGTGGGGTTAATGTTAACTGGGTAATGTTAACAAGGTCTCCCTCATTGCGTAAACCATTACTCCATACTGAGAAAATTACCCATATCCTGAGTTGCAAGCGAGGCCCACTCAGTAATATAATTAGCCACTGGAGTCAGGTCACTCTGCCCCCCTTTGCTAAATCTAGACAAACTGAAGGAGTGTTTCTACACACACAAGATTATTTAGGCAATGTGTGCTCACTTTAGTGAATGGACATTTTGTTCATTACGAACACAAGAGGAAAAATCCATTACTAATATAAACTAAATTATAATTAAGTTGCTGCATCTAAAGAGACTTCTAGAGACATTACACAAATAACACCATAATTTATATTTAGACTGTTAGAATGCCATCCAATCAAGTTTATTACAGTTGACTAGACGGCTTATGAGCATGCAAACCCTGACACACACACAGCCTTCACGTGTGACACTAATCCTCAATGGGCTCATGAGGATTATGTTAGACATTAGATATTATCTAGAAAATGTTAGATATTGCCACCATAAAATGTCCCTGGCTATAACACAGTTACAGCGTAATGGTCGTGTGCTTTTATCTCCAAACCTTATCTTGGAATGTTGCTGCTACTTAACATAACTCAATTCATGAATGGAGAGCTATCATGAGCTGATACTGATAGCTGATACTGTTGAGCTGATATAATCAAAACAAATATTTTATAACAATAAGCATAAACATTTTTTTGATTAAAATTTACAAATTTTATTTAAAGCTAAAATAAAAATACTGTATAATTCAAATAAATATTTGCTCCTTTTGGATACAATAATAATACATAGCTTGTTACCATTGTGTACACAACAGAAAATCACAATTGGTTAAAAATCAGAAAAAGAAAGTATTAAAACTTAATTTGGCGCTATTATGACGCAACCGTCCTTATGACGTCCTTGACGATCGGATGCAACGATTGCCTTTGAAAACAAACAGTAAATTGTAAAATCATGATGCTAATCGATCTGCTCTTATTTTAAGCGTCTCGAGTTAATCATACATTCGCAGTCTGGCATTCTTCCATCAGATATTTCTGAACAAGGCCAAATTCAAGTTCAGCGTGCTCTGGATTCCTCCATGTTCATGCGTGCACCACACACAAACGTCCTTGCCTGCTCATCTAACAATTTAGAATGGAAATACGATTGTGGCTTCACTTTTAATGCAACAAAAGACTTTAAACCTCGAGATGTGGCGCATGGAAGTGTTGCATTCATCACTGAACCGCCGATTTATCCGCCACTCTTCAATGTCAACGACACTGGTTACATCGCACCATGACGACAGTGCTCGTTTAACGTAATGCTAATCGAGAGAATTTATTTAGATGAGGCATATGCGAAGCAATAAAACAGCCATTCAAACCATATACCTACATTTGTTGCAGGAATGTTAAATAAGTATCCTTAGAAGCAGGGACAGCAGGAAGGGCAGTGAGAGCCGCTGAGCACCGGTGAGAGAGCGCGAGTGAGCGTGCGTGCGTGGTCGCGTGACTCGTGGAGGAGCAGGATTTGAGCGTGCGGCGCTACGCAGAGAGCGTATGACCTACTGTTACAAGTGCATGCGATGCCCTTGATGATATGAGGAATATGAGAACGACAGACCGGCCCACTTTCCTCTTGGATAGTTGTGTCAAGGATTTCATTGGCATCATAAAAATACTTCCTCTTCACTGACCTTGCACTTCAATGGCATCTGTATTAATGCAATATTTGCCACATTAGAGATGTATCCCAGTCAGCACGATGCAAAGTTAAATATTACAGTTAAAACATTTTTTTCCCGCTTTCATTACATTATATGTGATGCTGGTTGCCCAATGGAGTAGTTGGAACTGCATGGCGGGGTTATGTCTGTTATGCAACCATGACCTGAAAAGGTTTTGAACTGCCTAAACACATCCAGATGCCAGCAGCAAAATGAGTGAAACTTGTGGTAACTCAAACATTATATTTAAAAACGAAAAAAAAATGATGCCTGGCTACTTTACGCAAAGTGGACATATCAGAAGAAACCAAAGGTTGAAATACACATGTATTTCACATGTATTTAGAGCATGTACATAAACATGCTCTAAATTTTAAAACTCAAAAACGGTATGATAACATTAGTGTTTCAAATGGTTTTGTTTCATTTTGGAGCCATATTAATGTTTACTAGAGGGTGATGTCAATTATAGACAGACAGACAAACAGACAGACAGATAGATAGATAGATAGATTAGATCAAATCAATTTGTTTGTGCTATGGCACCTCAGCAACACCATTTGCCTTCTCATGAACAAACAATACTTCCCAATTATGGGGACCAATGAGGCTCCTGTTCCTCCCACTGGCTTGTCCAATAAGAGCATTCATCAGTCAATGACTTTTGAGCAGCATTAAGGGCATTGTCATTATTTGCTTAAAAGGAAGAATGTGTCTACACACATTAAACAAAGGGAATGTGTGTGTGTGTGTACCTGGTATTTATCACGTTATGGGGACCACAAGGATAGTAATACTAGTAAATTTTGACCTTGTGGGGACATTTTTGAGGTCCCCATGGGGAAACAAGCTTATAAATCATACAGAATTAGTTTTTTTGAGAAAGTAAAAATGCACAAAGTTTCCTGTAAGGGGTAGGGTTGGTGTAGGGCAATAGCACATACAGTTTGTACAGTATAAAAACCATTACGCCTATGGAATGTCCCCATAAAACATGGAAACACAAC